CGGAGATATGTCCGCGTTATACCAATGTAACCGTGATATTTTGTGTACGAATAATATCTTTCGACATTATTTAAAAAACACTTTATTTTTATTGTTATTTTTCAAATCACATTGTAGTAGTAGTAATTTTTTTAAAATCACATTATACAAGATTTCACACTGCATATTTGCATATGTCATATACATAATATTTAGTTCATATATGAAAAAATTTATTATTTTTTATCTTTCAGAATAATTGAAGAAATATAATTTTTAAAATAAGTTACCTCTTGCTTCCATTTTCATTTCTATCATGTTCATGTATATGGTCACTTCACTTACACAGGTTTGATATCTGCAATAATTAAATTGATCTTTAGGAACAAAAATAGGTAATATATTTTCCTCCTTATTATTTATTATTTATGTAAAATCATAGGATCAGATTTATTTATAAATTCTTCTGTCTTGGAAGTACATCATATTTCTAACCTCACAAAGTTTTGTTTTACGGAGCATAAAATATATACATTACTCTATTTTATAAGATGTAAATCATTTATTTCAATTAGTAATTCTCCATTATCAAAATAATTGGAAGAAATTAAGAAAAATGATTTCACCACTTGCCGCAATTACTTAAAAGTAGTTTTATGTATCTACATACATATATATAACAGAATTTATACAAAATTTAACATTATATATATATATATATGGATATAAAATATAAATGTAAAAAGTAATATTCTAGTCTTAATAAATCGGCCCATCGTCTAAATTGTCATCTTCATCATCATAATCTTCTCCATTATCGAAATAATTATTCGCATAATCAGTTCCCTCATCCATTTCTTCATCTAATTCTTCTTCTTCTTCCTCTAGATGTTCATCATCCTTCTCTTCTGTTTCTTCCTCCTCTTTTTCTTCTTCTTCTACATCACTTTGTTGGGAATTCTCCTTTTTTTCTAATTCTTGTAATTTTGATTCTACATCAATAGTCTTTTGCTTTTTCTTTGGACCCTCCAACATTTGTTCTTTACGCTTTCGCAATTGAGGCTTTAATTCTACAGGCATTCTGCTCCAATCGTATCTAATTTCATAACTACTTTTATCAGTAATTAAATCTTGGTACCGATCTGAATACCTCTCAATATCTTTTTTAATTACAAGAGGCAAGACATTGTTAGGAGATTCTCTCATATATTCTGCATATCCTTTCTTTAATTCAAACAAATAACTCAATTCTGTAGTAATATTCAAGGGCAATGGTTTATACTCCAAAAGGGGATATTTTAATGGAGGCTGTAAGACAGGCGGAGGCAACGCTTCTCCTTTAGCAAAGCCTAACTGTTCTGATACAGAAGGTTTACTTTTTCCTCTACCACGTCCAGCCATAATGTTTTTATATATTTGCCTTTTTATAATTAATAAAATAAAAAATCAAAGGAAATAATTGTTTTAAATGTACTAATAATTAAAAGTACATTATTGAATATTTTGGTCATTCTTCACTTTAAATGCAAGTCATCAATACTTTGGAAAATAATTCAAATATCAGAATTTTTTGGACCATAAATAGTTTTTTTTAGTTCACCAATTAGAAAAAAAAAGGATATATGATCTGTTTAAGTTCAAAAACTCTAGCAGTTAATTTTGTGTTAATTTGCCTTATATATTTGCAACTGATCTCTGCAAAATTAATACAATGGTTAGTGTACACTCTTGCTGTACTCAGACTCTATTTTTTATTAAGATATACAGATACAATCTCAATAATAGTTAGATTTTTAAAAGTTTAATCTTAAGTACAGCATACTAAAATAAAATATATATCATAAATACATCAATAACACCGGTAACTTCTATATTTTAATTTCGAATCAAAATAAATTATTTTCTATAAGTAAAATACCTACCTTGCAACAGCTGAACTTTATTCCGTATACGTCGAATTTATAATTTCTTTTATATTATATAATATTTTTTAACAAAATATGGAACCTAAGTAGAATCCAAAGATATTTGTTTAAGGCGTGAAGATTGTTGTTGAGCATAGGTATTTATAAAATTAATGCACAACTGCACAACTAACTGCATGTCATAACATGGCCATTCGTTTCCTGTAGCAACAAATACACGTGAGTAATTAATCCAAAGCAGAATGGCATGTTCATAAAATAATAAATCATAGTACCACAGACGAGGTCGAAATCACATCGAGTGTAGAATAAATCCAACACTCAATGCATTCTTGTGTTACACCCAAAGAGGGCTCTGAAGCTTTCTTACGATTTTAGTGTCATATTCAGTGTTACCGATGTAATGCAAAATAAAATTACAGCAATTGAAATAATTAAAATTAAAGTTCAAAAAAATAAAATTACAGGTAATTGTTTGAACTTCATGATAATTATCTCTTTAATGCTTCAAAACCATATATATTTAAAATAACATTATCCGGTCAATATTTTAGAATATGACACGAAATTCCATAAAATGTTAGATCTACATTGTATTTAGTCAATGATTTTATTCGTCACATAATTTATAATACACGTATCATACGA